CAGCACACTGGGAGGCCAAGGCGAGAGGATTGCTTGAGTCCAGGAGTTTCCACATGGTGAGACTCCATCTCTACAAATTTTTTTTTTTTTTTTTTTTTTGAGACAGAGCCTCAGTTTGTCACCCAGGCTGGAATGCAGTGGCGCGATCTCGGCTCACAGTAACCTCCTCCTCCTGGGTTCAAGCGATTCTCCTGTCTCAGCCTCTGGAGCAGCTGGGCTCACAGGCGCATACCACTGCGCCCGGATAATTTTTGTATTTTTAGTTGAGACGGGGTTTCGCCATGTTGATCAGGCTGGAACTTCTGACCTCAGGTGATCCGACCACCTCAGCCTCCCAAAGTGTTGGGATTAGCGGCGGGAGCCGCTGCACCTGGCAAAAAAAAAATTTTTTTTAAAGGAGAAAGCAGTTAAACCATGGACAGTGAAACAGAGCTGGCAGACACCTGAAACTCCGCGGAACCGCGCAGCTGCACCCTAGGGCTCATCCCAGGAGAAGAGAGATGTCAGTGTGGCCGGAGGTGTCCTGAAGCACTGGGATTGGGTTAACTCGACTGGTGGCCTTCCCAGCCCTCCGTGCTGCAGAGCCTCTGGTACGCTCGGCTGCCTTCGTCTCACTGTGTGCTGTGCCTGTGCACCTGTCTTGTGGATAACTGCGTATATTGTGTTCCATTGCCTGCCTTGCTGGATGACTGCATTTGTGTATTTGTTTTGCTTTCAGTCTATATACAGTTGGGTTTCCAACCTCTGATTCTGGAATAAACAGTTGCGTGTCTGAGTGAACGGCTGAGTGAGCCTAGCCACCTGCTGCCCCAGCAGGGCCACATCTTGTGGTGCATTGCCGTCCTCACCACGGCCACGCCAGGTGGCCTCGCCTGTGCTTCCTGAGCTGCCACCTGGTGTGGAGTCAGGAGAGGTCCTCTGTCTTCCTCCAGGAAGATGCTCACCAGGCCTAGAGCACCAGGAGTCGGCAGAGGGCCACCCTGCTACAGTGAAGAAATCACCTCCCGCAGTAACCACTGCACAGGGCACCACAGCTGGCCTGCCATGAAGCCATCCCTGCAGGTCGTGTGGGGCGGCCAGGCTGAGGGACTGGGCACCAACATGAGGTGCTAGGGGTCCCCGTGCCTGCTGGTGGGTTATAGCTATGGGGACTGTGTGTATTTCTTCTGCACACGAGAAAAGTGGCGAGAGTTCCTTCATTATAACGGGAACGCTATTAGCGGTCAGACCAAGGTGCCTAGATGTGGTGCGAGGCAGCACGCTGGTCAGGGAGGATGGATGGTGTGCCCGGCCTGTGCCCGCTGGTGAGCCAGGCTGGTCCTGGTGTGAGGCAGCACACTAGTCCAGGGGGATGGTGTGCCCGGCCCGTGCCTGCTGGTGAGCCAGGCTGGTCCGGGGGGATGGTGTGCCCAGCCCATGCCCGCTAGTGAGCCAGGCTGGTCCTGGCGTGAGGAGGAGGAGGAGAAGATGAGCCCTGGTGGCATCCCGTGCTGGCACCACCATGTAGGAACACGGCCATGTGTGCTCTGGTGCTGCCGTGTAGTGCAGGGGCCCGAACATGTCTGATCTGATAAACGTGTGTTACCGTCCCAGTGAATAGATCTGCTCTTCGGTGCCTGTGGTCTGAGCAGCAGAGCCCAGATTTCTCAATTCCATTTCCACCTGTCCTGAGAGCTTATACTCGTTGCAGCCAGTGTAGACTGTCCACACTGGTCCTTCCTTAGTGTTGCTGGAGTTGCAAACAGGCTCATCCACTGTGCCCGCCTGTTGGTTTGCCGCTTGCCTGGGGTGTGGATCTAAGGTGAACCCTTGGGTGTGTGCTGGCTTTGAGGGTGTCCCATGGCCTCATCTGCGGACCCAGAGCTGAGCAACTGAGGCGTCTGGACACATGGCCTCCCACAGTCGTGTGACCTTCACGCTGAGTCTAGACCAGAGATGTCAGAGGAGGGAACGGTGGCCCAGGCAGGGCTGACTTGCCAAGGCCACTTCGCCTCTAGATGGGGCCCGGTGTTTATGTTTCCACTGCAAACAGCATCTGTGTAAAGCAGATCAACCCTCAACTCATGGTGAGGAGCCCTCAGTCGGCCGCTGCAGAGGGCGAGCTGTGGGTTTTGGGTAGAGGCCG